TTAATGAGTTTAGAGGCTCGCCGCCGCCGCGCCGCGCCGGGCTCGTCCCCCTCCCTCCCATCTGCCCCCGCCCTCACTCTGTGTGTAATCGGCTGTCTCCTTCGCCGTTAACACCGTCAGCGATATCATTAACAGTTGTCCGCTCGATTATTTACCGGAGAGGATTAAACTCCCCCCCCCCGACCCCTCCCCCGCGTTCTCCTCTCCCGGTCGCCCGAGCGACGGCGGGTCGGCGAACTTTGGAGACCTTCGGAGTTGGAAGTTTTCAGAAAGCTAATTGTGTGTGATCGAAGGCGCGGGGAGAATCGAGAATCCTGCGAGCGTTTTTACGGGCGATTTATCAAGAGTCTCTCCGGCGGAGACTTTTTATCTCGAGTCCACGATTCCCTTCCTTCTCGGCGGACGCGCGCTAACTTTACGCGAGAGACGTATGTTCGCTTTGTGAATCTGCTTCTTGTAATTATAACGACACACGCGCGCGGTGTATACCTGTATCCTTTATTGTAATTATTACTGGTATATAAACTGCGTCTTGCTGTTTCCCATTGTAGATTTCAAATTACCTTCGGGCGACCTTCCGCGGAGCACGGGAAATTTCTTACCGCGTCCGTCTCGTCTCCCTGACCACGTCCTTCTCTCCGGCGATATTACGTATTCTTTATTTCCCTCCAATTAGCCGCTGCTCGCTGCGAACGCGGATACTTCGCTCAACGTTACTCACCGTTTACATGGTTGCCCCTTGCGCGCCGTGCAGATGATTCCGATTCAATTACCTTACTTACGTCCAGCACGTAAAACAGAATACGTCGAGAAATCCGCGGACGCGGTACTTGCGGCAGGGAGGGCGGCGGGGGGGGGGGGTGGCGGCGCATACATAAGTCGCAATAGAGCATGAATTATTTATCCGTTTCTCGGCGCCTTCGCTCGCCTCCTCCGCTGCTCTCTGCCCCCCTCGCGTTCTCGCCTTGTCGAACTTATCGGCCGAGTGTTATCACGATGCAAAGCGGTGCGAAGGCACGGCGACGCGAGTTCCGAGACGCGCGCGCTTCGCGGCGTTATTTATTATGCGCCTCGGCAGAGCGTCGGCGAAGAGCGGAGCGCGCGCGAGCCGCGAATTAGTATGCGGCAATGTGCGCGCGGAATGCCGGTGTCCGATTCAGACATCGTCGTCCGTCAGCGGAGACGACAGCGGGGGGAGGAATTAATAGAGCAATGTGTAATAACCGCCGCGAATGATCATGTCGGTCGACCGCGCGTATCACCGCAACAGCGCCGGTGATACTCGTTCCGTCGATTCGGGTCAGTAGAGGGAAAAAAGCGGGAAAAACGAGCAAGCCGACACACACACACACACACACGCACATAGGGATATTTCCCCCTCCCCTGCCTTCTCTCTCTCTCCGTCGGCTCAGCGCTGGTTTTATCACACCGTCCCGCCCGGTCGTATCGGATATTTTTTCAGACGCCAAGTATCCCGCACCGGATGTTTCGCTTATCGCGAGATTAGCATTAAAAATTGACCGCGGTCGCGCCTCCATCGACAATTTCACCATCGGGGATTATGTAGGTGTTGAATTAACCTCCCGGAGTGCACACGGCGCCTATATATACAGGCGTCTAACAAGAATCATGCGCGAATGTCTTTATCCCGAGAGAGAAAAACATCCGAGAGACAAAGAGAATATTCTTTCGGCGGGCACCGCCAAATTGCCGGGACAACACATCCGTCGAAATCCAAAGTTCTCTCCTCTCCGTCGAATAAAACGATCGCTTCGGTGAGAAGCCGCGCTCTCTCTCTCTCTCTCTCTCTCTCACGCGCGACGCGACCTCGTCGCGACGCAAATATTCCGCAATTAAACGTCTTACCCCGCTCGCATTTTCCGAACGCAGGGGACCCGAGGGAGAGAAGGGACCGAGGGAAAGGGCTCGGTGAAGCCCGTCGTCGCGCGTCGCGTCGACGATCACAAAGAGTAACGAAGTGGACACAACGTCGCCGGTAACGAGCTTAGCGGAGCTATCGCGCGCGACGCGGCCGCGCGGCGTTCCCGTTGATCCGTGAACGCGAACGCGTCTCTGCGGGATGAAATATTTTCTTTCAAGCGGATTATTTCGCTCGGCGGAATTTCGTTAAAACTTGCCGTCGGAGTCGTTTTTTGCGTCGCGTCGCATCGCGTCGCGCGGCGTCACTCGTGTTTTAATCATCGCGCCGCAAAGCTACGAGGCAGCGCGCGTGCTCGACTACGCGCTCTCTCATAACGCGCTTATAAACGCAGTTAATTATCATCATGGTGTAATCAGCACGACTCCGCGCGGCGGCAAAACCATCAACCCGCCGCGTACAAAACTACCATCGCACCCCGCCCCGCTAAGCCTCTCCTTCATCCCTCGAACCCCTGAGCCGCGTCCGACGGGTTCTGACGGGGCCGAAATATCGCGCGGAGATTTTATTCGAGCGCGCCATTTTCCGAAAAGCGAGATTTACATTTATTTGCAGCGCGCC